TACGAAATATTTCACCCCCCCCCCCTCCATCGGGTCCTCCGTCCGTCACAGTTGCAGACTTCGCCGGACGAAATCACAAGGCCTGAGACAGTTTCGTTTAGAATGATAAGGTTGTTCACTCGACAGCAGATCACCCCTCTACACCAGGCCTGCACAACATGCGGCCTGCGGGCCACATGCGGCCCGCCAGCACCCACTTTGTGGACCGCGAAGTAACAAAATGTTTTTTGTTCTTATTATTTTCTTAATAGCTTTCACCCCCGTCCTACTTCATTTTGGCCCGCACAAGTCATTTCATATTATCTTGTGGCCCGCGCGAGTTTTCATATAAAGCATTACGGCCCGCCTTACAATATGAGTTGTGCAGGCCTGCTCTACACGCATCTGGATAACCCAAGGGAACCATATCCGGAAATTTGATCGAAAGAAATTTCGTCGATGGTAATTTGATCGAACGAAAATTTAGTCTAATCTTTTTTTAAAGTTTTTACGTTAACATTTTGCTTCAAATTATAGTGCGTTCAAAATTTTACCGTGTGAACTGAAAAAAAGATTCGACCAAATTTCCGTTCGACCAATTTTACGTTCGATCAAATTACCGCCGATCAATTTACCATCGACGAAATTTCTTTCGATCAAATTTCCGGTAACCCAAGGGAACATCATGTGTGGGTGATAGAGCATGGTACAAGAAGCGTTGCCGGAGTAACGGGAATTTTCAATTGTGTCAATGTCATACCGTCTACGGGATTCCTTCTCTGTGTTTTGAATTCAGATTTTCCCTTCTCTTACATGAGTTGCCAGCCAAGGTTAACGAGTCCCATCCACCCGGAAGATATACATCTTAGTTTAGATAATATAGCCTTACAACTTTCAGTAAGGAGATGACAACCTCCCGTGGAAACTACGCAGAATTATTTAAATCGATTGTTTCCCCTAACGGCGCTACTAGTGCCAGCCACCGAGGGCGCAGATCTTATTTGGGCCATCTATGCTATGCCAAGTCTAGGCAGCCTAAATGTAGGCCCCCTCTTTCAGAGCAGTAAATATGAATAAAAATATTTTGAATGAAAAATAAAGATATCGACCCCACTGTGAAGTTGTAGCCCAGGGAGACAGCCCCCTTCGCAACCCAAGATCTCCATACTAGTTAAGAAAAAAATCTTTCAGAGAATTTGTTCCAACGGGGTGGGTTCAGATCTACTGTTTGGCACTGACAGGGGCGTAGAAAAAGCTCGGTAGATTTGTAGTTCCGCACCGGTTTGGGGGGGAGGGGGGTCAATTTTTCTTTTTATGGAAGGTGGCATTTTTGACCAACTGCAGAGTTTTTATCGCGGAAGAGGTGCGGCAAAATATTGGCCTCCCCAGTGTGGCATCAAAACTAACTACGCCACTAGACGCAACAAATTCTGCGTATTGGGTGTTAGGGTTAGCCATATCTGCGTGACAGCTTTTTTTCCCCACTCAGTTCTATTAATATAAAAGAAATGTTGAATAGGGTGTATTGTCACATAGATCGTCGTGGAGTAAGAGGGAAAGCAGAAATCAAGGGCGCCGAAGATTCCTGAGCGAAAGGGGGAGCACTTTGGGCAAAGTCATAATGCACGGATGCATTGTGCGCACATACCTAAATTTAGTTTCGAATCATTATGCACTGATGATTGATGATTGACAGCAGCCACCCCCACCCTTGGCCGGATAGATGTTTGAAATAAACACTGGTTGAATTGAGAGATGAAGCCAATCAGCTGACGATTCAATGTGTCCAGAGGACGCGCTGTGACGGGGTCGTCTGCTCGCAGTCAAATGAAGGCTGCGTACTCCGAATAAAGCAGATGCGACCAACCATGATGAGCTGAGACAGTGAGAGAAAGGATCACGTGTAACAACAACAAAAAGTACCTCTACATAGTTACAAACAAGCTCCCGTGGATTTGCGATTAAAAAAGGGTCTTTAATAAAAAAATAAGGACCACCAGGTGCGGACCTCCCTCTCCGTCCCGCCCTTCCTACGTCAGTGATCCCAATTTTAAAAAAAATATTTGACAACATTTTAAACATTAAAATACAGTGGTTTTAATTGATGTAGGCTATACAATATATTGTATTCAAACTGTAATTAAACAATCCCCTAAAAGTTTTTTCATATAAATCTTAATTTGCATTTTTTAAATTATTTCATATTAATACTAGAATATGTGACCCAATGTTATCGGGATAATAATGGTAGTCCCTTTGTGGTAATTTCTACCTGCTATTGCAAAAACTCATTACAATTCCCAACTTTTAAAAGAAGTATCTATGTTATAATATTTTAGTATCTAACATCATTAAGTTTTGAGAAGTATTTATCTGCTATATATTATACGCCTACCCTACTCCATTTCACGCCCCTAAACTACATTTTTTCCTCTAAACATTACCTTAATTATACAATATCACTTTTTTCACTAAAGAAGTTAATTGAGGGACGATTTCTACGCTAGAGAAATTCTTTAGATTTACCTCCTTATCGTGCCCTTGAACTACCACTTTTTTTTTCTTTCTAAAAATTGTTCAAAAACATAGACTAATCTTAAATTTACAAAAACTCTATATATGATAAAAATATCTTTTATATTAAAGTAATTTGATCTATTAATATCTTCATCAAAAATTGAAACACATGTTTGCCTTGGTTTTTTTAATGTTTTTTTAAATTATACACTATCAGAAAATCGTTAAAAAAAAGAGAATTCTTATATCTAAAGAAGAATCTCGCAACCGTTTTTCACGTCTTTAACAGACTTGGGTGTCTTTTTAAAAAAAATTGTTAACCTTATAAAAATTCACAGGCATTTTCTTTCCGCAAAGTAAAAAAAAAAAAAGAAATATTTTCATTTTTTTGAAAGAAAATAATAACCCATCTCCATTTTTCAAAATTAAATTTTAAAGTGTTAAAATGATTGGGTTTTGAAATTCATAATTCATAGGTATACTAATATACCCATATGTACCCATGTTTCGTTAACGACATTGATTTTCTTAATTGATAACCATAAACATATGTTTATTTGTACAAATAGAATGCAACATCTCTTTTTTTTCACAAAGGTAACAGCAGAGGATTTAAGTATATTTTCACCCAAGTAAATATTTACCCATCATATTTCCTACCTCCGATATGTATGTACCCAATAAGATTAATTATTTATCAAATTCATTCCTTTAGTTTGAGACGTATCTTGTGCTGCCTGGGGCAAAATGACCACCCAACTACAGATTTAAATAAAATGAACAAGCTAAAATATTTTGCACTTCATATGGTTTGTTCTTATTTGGATGAGTTAATAAGTGGATTAGTAAATGCTATTAATTTTGGCTATAAAGTTTTGCTGCACTGATTGACTTAAACGGTATTTTTTAAATTAAATTCATATTTAAAGGTTAAGTTTTTATTACCTTATAAAGTTACCGTAATAAAAGTATATTTTTGGAATTAAAAAAAAGTAACAAATTATTAAATAGTAAAACTACAAAGATAAAATGTGTGTGTGTTTTATTAACAATTTAAAAAGCCATCAATTATATTTATTAATTTTACTTTTATAAGGGGGAAATAAATTATCAGTTTTGCAACACAGGTTATTAAATCAAAGTAACGTAAGAGTTTTGGCTAGCACAGGTGATTCACGCTATGACGTCATTGAGTGTTCATTTAGAGAAAAAAATAATTTTAATTTTATTTCGCAATATTAACAAAGCACTAAAAACGCAATAAAACAACTGATGTTTGGGTTTTCCAGATTAATGTGATAAAGGTCTGATTCTTTGATCATCATTTAATTTATTTATTTAATTTTTTTTTCATAACATTCAAACGCATATAAAATGCTTAAGATAGTTCCTTAGTAGTTACTTCAAATGTATTTGTAATTTATAATAATAATACTTAAACTTTTATTAAAATAAAAGCGAATATATAGTATTTTTGCGCATAGAAAATGTATTCGATTTATGCAAATTAATAGAAAATAACTATGATTTTTTTGTTAAAATCCGAATGTATTTATATCTTTTCAGCTCTTTGTCTTGACGGTCAGCATTGCTCATTCTTATATATATATAATATATATATTCTATATATATATATATATATATATATATATATATATATATATATAT